AATCAATTTAAATAAGATCAGAATGAATAAATAATTTTAAAGAAAAGTAATTATTATCTCTCTTACTGTATATAATATATTATTAATGTATTGTAATATCATCATTTGGTTTATTTGTAATTTAAAACAATATGAATGAAATTGGGGAAATCATTTGAAATAGGTCGTTGTTCGCATGTAGATATATCTATTAATATACGTACATATAAATTGTACTTACACATATGATAGAGAACCAAGTTACTCTTGCTTCCATTGTACTTTTGAAAGGCTCTGTTCGTTGGAGCGAAAACGGTAACATGACGATACATCAGCGTGTTGTTCGCCACCTGGCTCGTCTCCAATAGTTGATAAAACTGTAACAAAAAATTGCAAGGATTTCTTTAGAGGTCCATTTCTCTTCATTTATTTCGTTGGCTAACATTAAATCGTATTGTTATATATATATAATAAACTTATATCCAAACCGCAGATTTTGGAAATTTTTTTTAATTACTCGACCATATCATAGTTACGTTCGGATGCATTTAGTTTTTTCGATATTTTTTTGTTGTTTTTAAACTTGAGAAGACTAAGAGTTTCACGTATCGTGTTTTGCTGTATTGTCTCGTATACTGTTACTGTTGTGTTATATCATCAGAGTTAGTTCGAAAGTACTGTAAAAGTTCAACTTGATGTGTCTGTCACAAGTTAGGGTTATCTTTACACACACTGACGCAAAAAAAAAGTACACACATAAACCGGATCGGAGAATTTTCTTTTTTTTTCCCAAAGGAATTTAAAAATGTTGTAAATTTTTTAATTTTCAAATATTTTCCCCTCTCTCACAACAGAAAAAAAAGAAAAATTGATAATAGATATTTTATTGCTTTTTTCTTTTTTTTTGTGTGTGTAAAAATATACGCGAATAAATTTAATTTTCACAAAAAGTTATATGGAAAATATTCTTTTGATAATAACCAACAACAGAAGTTTTATCAACCCCGATCGTTTTACCCGTTTGACGAACAACGACCTATCCTAACCAATTTGAAGTTAAATCGATTGACAAGCAGTCAAGGCTGGACCTGTTAGTGCATTTAATTAGTATGTACCTACACACCGGAAATTGACTGATCGTTACCGCTTACGGAGAACGTAGGCTTCTCGTTGCGAACGAAAACACGAGTTCAATTTTAATCGGTTTCATTTAAGGAACCTCAAACGAATTATTATTATTATTATATCACATATATGATAACAAGAATTTTTCTTTATTCTTTTTATTTTAATTTTTTTCATTGTTTATTTTTAATTTCCATTGCAATTTACAACATTCGACACTTTTTTTGTTTAACCACCGTTCGATTTTTTGACGATAAGCTGCTGGAGTAAAAAGTGTTCTGAACGTGATTTCTTTTTGAGAAATTAGGATAACATTCGATATTACAGTAATAATAATAATTAAGAAATAATTTTCATCGATTTAATAAAATAATATATCGCGTTTTTGTGCACGAATTGTTAATTTATTACAAAAAAATAAAATCCATATGATATCTAATTTGCCAATGTTTTAAACCATTTTTTTTTCGGGAGGGGGTGAAGCAGAATTTATGATTCAATTGAAAAATTTGTATTCACGGGTCAGAAAATCGTTTGTGTTCGATTAATAAGAAGAAACATTTGAAATAACGAATATTAAATGTCAACGAAATAATTTCATTTTTATTACGACGAGCAAAGTTTTCTTTTTTTTTGTTTTTTTTGTTTTGTTTTAAACGACAATCGTAAAACGTTGTAAAGTTTTTGTCTGCGGGTTTACGCGCGTGTAGAAAAAAAGTTCGAATGTTCTGGTGCATCATCAGCGTATAAAAATTGTATCTGGAACCATCGAAGCGCACGCGTTATATGCACTTTGTATGTACTATTATATTTTTTATTTTCGTTATCCTTTTTTTTTTTCTTCTTCTTCTTCTTCTTTTTATATCTTTATCTCTCTATTCCTTCTTTTTCATTCAAAAAAAAAGAAAAAAAAAGAGAAACAAGTTCTTTTTGAGAGAAAGGTTTTGTCATTTTACTCGGTGAAACGTCACGTACGGTTTGAACTTTTAAAACATTTCGAAATTGAACAAAAAATATTGTTAAAAAGTTATTTCCCTCTGGTTTAACAGTAATAGTAGTAGTAGTAGTAGTAGTAGTAGTAGTAAAGTAGTAATAGTAGTAGTAATAGTAGTACCATAAGATTACATACATTTCTTTTAACTTTTAATTACTTCATTCGTCGATCACATTCAAATCAACGATATATATTTTAATTTTTAATGATAAAATTTCATAGGGAACTTGGACATGAAAAGAAGAAGAACTTAAATTTAATTGAGTTGATTGGATAAATTTGACCAGTCGAACTTAGTGTACAAAATACCATGTGAATGTGAGAAGAACTTAGATTGGTCAAACAAAACAGAAATTAAAAAAAAGATTAGACCAACACAAAAATGATTGTAAACCTGTAAATATGAACAAAACCAATACCACAGCGTTAGCTGAACACCATTTTAAAACAGGACATACTTTTAAATTTGATGCAGCAACTATCCTAGATTTAGAGGAAAACTGGTAYAAAAGAAATATTAGCGAAACATATCACATATGTAATAATAATACGCTAAATTATAGAACAGACACAAACAACTTAAATCACATCTATAACGGAATATTTAAATTTTAAACATAATAAATAATAGAGGACACCTTACACTGATGATATCTAGGCTAACAAACACTAGTCTAGATTGAAACAGTTTTGTTGAGGCTTTTAAATAATAACGATCAAACTAACGAAGTTTTAGATGTATTGTGTTTTAGAATATTATAAAAAGAAATGTATGTTGAAATTAAATAAAAAAGACGCTGAGCTTTAATGATTAAGGTAATATGTAAAAAATTATATTGTATAAAACGCATGTATCGTAATGAGAAATGTATAAGAAAATAAATTTTCCAGTTGTTGAAGAAGTCCCAATAAAGGAACGAAACGTCCAACTCAAAAAAAAAAAAAAGAAAAACAACTCAATTAAATTTAAGTTCTACTTCTTTTCATGTCCAAGTTCCCTATAAAATTTTATCATTAAAAATTATAATTTTGGACGAGAGAAAATACTAAATATTTTTTAATGATTTGTATTTAAAAGAATTACTACGTATGTTATTGTCACGTTAAATAATTACACGTCGAATCAACGTTAAGATTTATTTATTTAAAATCCAATACTAATTGTTGTTACTAAAAAAAAAAAATACAAAAAAATGAAAAGAAACGAAAGCAAAAGAAAAAGAATAAGGAATAAAAGTAGAAATGGGAAAGAGGTAGATAGATTGGAAAGTTTAAAGGAAGGTAAAGAAACTAAGAAGGAAAGAAATAAAAGAAGAAAGAAGAAAGAAGTAATGACATCTAGCGATCTTAGGGTCTCTTTATCTCAGCCTCAACCCCTTCTTCTTACCCCCTAGCCTTGACTACTACTACTACTACTACTACTACTACTAGTCTTATCCTCTTTGCTTTCCTTTAACGAAGCTCTTGAGTAATGGAGACATGTCGTGACTCTGGACAATTAATGCGAGCTCGTCGGACGAGCAGCCAGTTAACGAAAGGGTGAGGATAGGCTAGAGGGGTGAAGAAAAGGGTGGCTGCTTGCTTGCTTGCTTCCTAGCTAGACGGAGTGAGAAAAGAGCTAAAGAACCGTTCGAGATGTAGAAAAAGGATGAATGGGGGTAGAGTTGGAGGAAAGGAAAGAAAGAAAGAAAGAAAAGAAAAGAAAAAGAAAAAAAAAATATAAAAGAGACGACAGTGGTTAATCGCGATGTCGCTTTGGGATTACCATGATTACTTAACGTGTAACTTATTTCATGCTTGAATCCACGTTTACGATTAGATGTGTTAACAACACGATCGTGTGTATACTTACGTGTAAGTTAACTCACTTGAATTATTTTAACCTGATCCAATTATATTTGATAAGATACCTTTGATAAATGGGGTTACTTTATTTATTGCAGTTTTAAATAATATTTTATAATACTAAACGAGTGAGAGTTATAAGAGTGAGTCATTATAATGGCGAGTGGTAATACAAGATGGCATTCTTGAAAGTCACTGTAATGGCGTGCATTATTTTTTATAGGTTAATATTGTATAATATTTTAGCTAATTGAATAGTAAATTTAATATTTTCTATTTTAATTGGAAATAAATAATGTGTATATTTAGTGTGTGTTTTAACCGGATTTTTTTAAAACAAATTGTAGAGAGGGTTTAGCATTAAAGTTACAAGAATATATTATAAAATATATATCTTAAAAAAAGAAAAAGACTATACTTATAGGGGAATGCTTTTTTTGATCGAACARAAATTTTAAATAATATTTTATAATACTAAAAGTGAGTTATTAGAGTGAGCCATTATAATGGCGAGTAGTAATACAAGATGGCATTCTTGAAAGTCACTGTAATGGCGCGCATTATTTTTTATAGGTTAATATTGTATAATATTTTAGCTAATTGAATAGTGAATCTAATATTTTCTATTTTAATTAGAAATAAAATGTGTTTTAACCGGATTTTTTTAAAACAAATTGTAAAGGGGTTTAGCATTAAAGTTACAAGAATGTATTATAAAATATATATCTTAAAAAAACAGACTATACCTATAGGGTAATGCTTTTCTTGATCGAACAGAAATCGATCGTTGATCGATTAACAAAGTACTCGTGCGCAAACGGGACGATAAGTTTGATCTCTGCTGAACTGGCGTGCAGTTTGAGTCCGAGTTCGAGCACGATCTGCGAGAAAATTATTGCTCCTTGGTCGAGCACGGTTAAAACGAACGAACGAACGAAAGTAATAATCCGTAAATCGTTCTTAGCTCGGTGAAAAAGTGTTCGATGATAATTTCCTAAGGTCATCGATCTTATTTCTCTCTTCTTCGTTCACGCTTTTCGAGATATTCAACTTTCTTTTTCTATTTCTTTTTTTCTTTTTCTCTTCGTACCAACCGATCTCTTCTTTCATCCTATTGGTCCTTTTATTTTTTTATCTCTACCTTTTCCTTTTCTTAACTTTTTTTTTCTTTCATAAGGTAGTCACGTTTTCCTTCTCTTTGCCGTTCTCGGAGTAAGTGCATCGGAATATTGAGATGTGAACCACGTATTCAATATAAGACCTCTTATCAGCTAGCTAGCTTTTTAGAATACGTCTAAAATTTTTTTTCTCTCTTGTGTTTTATAGTTTACGCTAGTCACATTTCAGCATTCAAAGGTACATATCATCATTCCCGTTTCATATGAGGATTTATCTGTTTCTTATTTGTTTCCAAAGGTA